AAGCGTTAAACCCTTGCTGTGGAAAAAATCGAATTAGGCTTCAATTGGTGAAAATGAAGTGCGCAGTGGCGGCATCTGCGAGCTGTTTAAGGTACAAGGTAACTCAGGTGAGGTGAAGTTTCCAGGCACTACAGCCTCCCCTAAACCAGCTGGACGCGATAGGGTTTCTACTAGTTATTTCTTTCCTTTTTTTGTCTCTTCTCTTTTTGCCTTCCCCTCTCCTTGAACATATGTGATCGCTGCCAATGTCCATTCCGTGACTAAGAGAGTAAAATGAAAAAGCGATCATTCCAAACGGGTCAACTGTACCTATCAGCGTGAGCGCACCCTCCGTTGTGAAACACGCAAAGGGGGAGGACGTAATATATCCGCTGGGGATGAAGGGCGCGCAAGTTTTCCCGCGATACGAGGGGAAATTCGGCGACTGTGAGATTTTACTCGTTTCACGTGCGCAGTGTGAGCCCCCCTGTGAGGGGGTCGCACAAAATGAGGAAAGTTGAAGAGACCGTATCTAACCAAAATTTTACACAAGCAATGCTGTTACTGTTTACTTATCATGCCTGAAACAATCAGAGACCAAGTAGGGCTCAGAGGGAACACCTTACCAATTGACTGACCTCCTCCATTTGAAGACGATGAGTGACTGACTCGTCGAAGAACATCAAGTGGAGCACGTTTTATAGTACCGGTTGGTTGTTCATCGTACTGCAAAATAAAAATAAACTTCATCCAAAAAGCCATAAACTTCTAATTAGTAAAAGAACAATCTCTCGTTTCACTTGCGAGAAGAACACTCATTCACTCAGTGAACACGTACCCCACAAAGAACTAGTTTGTAACAATTATCCTTTTCGAAATGGTACTTTGTGTGGTCGACCATTTAGCGCAAAATTACGGGCTTGTTATAATAATCACTAGCGGAGGATAGTTGTTGAAGAAAAAAAAGTGGAAAGGTTACCCACCTCTTGGAAATGTATGGCTGTAGAATTCGCTACGCTGATGCATCGTTCGGTTGACACAGCACTCAGACGGCTCGTGTTCGAGGGTGATTGCAGCGAAGATGGCTAAAAGGAGGAGGAGTTTAGGCAAGATTCTCTCAAATCCTTTCATCTGAAAGGCTAACTAAACTTCTGCGCACTTCATTACTTATAGTCTGTGAGCAAGTACAAGATCGGAAATTCTTGAGTACCATTCGTGAAGAAATAACAAGTGATTTGACGTTAACAATAATAGAAAAATCTACATATGCAGCAAACTAATGAACGTGACTCACCTTTCCACTATGATCGGAATAATTTGATCCAAGATCGTGTCGACTAGAAGAACATGAAGGTGTGGGACCACCATGCTGTTCACGAATATTCACACTGATCGGCTGCTGTGAGGCAGAACTCGCGACACGCGGTGGTGGCACACAGACGGGCTGTACTGACAGAGCTTCCCGACGGCGTTCACATGCACGAGCGTAGTTCGACATCAGATTGACACCGTTCTGAAGTATTAATAATTTTGCAAGGACGTGAAAGATAAACTCGATATTAAAAAAAAAGCACTGAGACTGATTATTCAATAGAGTCAATTCCGATGGGCGGGTGCGCGCACATTTTAACACTTTTGCTAGCTACCCTAGTTCCCGGTTGGCATAATTTCACTCTGGGAAACTCTGTGAAACTTTCTGTGAAGCTTGGAGCAAAGCTCGCCGAGCCACCACGGTACATTTTATAAACTTTTTCAATTCTTGTAACTCATGAAATAGGCTCTTTAGATGGGCAAACTCGGAGGGAAAAAGCAACCACCAAGTTGGCAAAAATGCACCCCCGCCCTCCGCAAGTTGCCAGATCTACCGCGCTTATTCGATGGAATGCATCCTCCAACCCATATCCGCGACGAATGGGGAGGGCCAGACCCCCCCCTGGGGGGGGGGGGCGGAGAAAAATAACCCTTTCAAAAATCCCCGAAACTACGACGCTTATCTATTGGGATTCTCATTTCAGATTTTTTTCCGCCTCCCAGTCCAATAATATATGAAGACACGCCCTCCCCGTGTTGTTGATATGGAGTGCGATTATGCGATTTTTCCGAACATAAGGTCTCTTTTTCTCTGGAATGGTTTTCTTCACAGCTGTGCTGAATCTTATATGGCATATGAAAGGTCATGAACAACTTTCCTTCTTTGCTCACTAAATCAACTACGGCAAAAAGAAGTAGGTAAATAAGTAAAAAAACACACATTCTGCTCACCCAAAAAATTCCGAAGAGGCCGCTGAATATCAACGATTTTTCTAACAGGCAATGCCCTATCCCTGTAGAATGGCTATCCTTTTCTGGCAGTAAACGAGAATCGTTTGAGGATACTTGGAGAAAATTCTTGAGAAGTTCTCTTGAACACTTGCCAAGTGAGAAAAACTAAAGTGTTTGAGTTCAAATCCAGTTTCAAAAGCGCTGTTACATGCACTCTGTTAATCACTATCTTTGGCAGTCTCAACCCATATAGAAACCGGATCATAACCGCCATTTAGGAAAAGAAGTGCTCAGAAAACAGCTTGTTGGAGGAAAAAAACTTCAAAACGTTTTCCTACTAGTATTCAAAAAACAAAAAAACACCATCTAATCACATACTGAGGGCTATACTGGGGCCTTACACTTTCTGATGACTAGACAGAACTGTACTGCACTTAAGAACGTAACAGAATCATAATAAGAAGAGCTAAGCACACCAACTGACCTTGGCAATTCTAAGACCAACTAGCCATCGTCGGAACGTAGCCTCATCATCCGCACAAATATACTTGATGTATTGTGAACGTTTCATTTGAAGTTGTGTTAACTAAAACGTGGCTACTTACTAGTATGCAATATTATGTGCAAAAGTCAAGAAAAACAAAAAATGAGAAGAAACCATCTGGTGAGTCCACAAACCTTGATAGCTATGCACCAATCCGTGGGTGCCTTATACTTTTTGGCCCAGTTGATTCCAGTGTACACCTGATTGGAGTGCAAGTTCATCAAACACTGGAGATCTTTTGACGATCTGCAACTACAAATGTTGAAGTGAAGGTGAAATTCCATTTGAAAGTAATTCGGTTCAAAAACGAAAGGAAACAGATTCTAATGATAAGCTATAACAGGCGCTACTTCAGTACAGGGGCACTATGGATGAGGGTATCCTAGGCACTTGCACTTAAACCGCGAAAATTGGCGTCGGAGCGTGGAGGTTTTGCCTGGAATGAGGGTCGAATGCTAAATGAGTACCGAGAAGTGGAGACAACCTCCAGGAAGGGAATTTTTGAGCTATTTCTCCAGCATTTCCCACCTCGCTGGAATAGCGCCCCATTATACTCACGTTGTAGCTACAGCCAGAAAACGTGGCCTGGCAAAAGGCAAACGTCAGAATATTGTGGCTAAATACTGAAATGTCAACTCGACATAGAACGTGTGCAACTCGCCCTCCTCCGATACTTGAAGAGCGGCAAGCGACAACAAATGGTGAAAAGCTTGCTGGCGCCGTGTCGAGGCCTAAGGCCCGTCCGATCCCGAAAGGCCCAAGGCTGTAGGAAAAGAACGAATGAATTTTGTAATTAGTGAGCAGCATCATCTTCAAGAATTGCAAGATGAAACCATAGCAATAAGAGTAATGGATGTACTTCAAATCCGAAATCTCTAAGAGCTTACTTCTTCCCCTTCGGCGCATAATAAAGTCCACTCGGTCTCAGAACAAAGAAGTGCTTTTTCCAACTTTTTCGTCCATCTGATTTCAAGTGTAAGAATCCTTCCAGTTCAGGTGGTGACACCGTCTCACGAGTGAAGAACTCCTAAAAGGCGAACATTTGGCTAAGAGAAATTAGTGCTGTACTTTTCAGGCTGCAATCAAAACTAATACTGAAAATGGTCACAAGAATGCTGAGTTATGGGCAAAAGTCGGACCACGGACGGGATCCCGTCCGTGGTCCGACTTTTGCCCATAACTCAGCATTCTTGTGATAGCGTTTTCGGCATCAGAATTCAATTTCAAGTTATATGTAATAGCAATATAATCACAGTTAAGCGACGATCTCTAGTAAATCTAGTAACATGGGCTTATAACGAACGCCGGTTTAGCATTACAGAACAATGAAAACCTTATAAGATCTGCTTATAAAGCTGGAAGAAGTAATCAGTGCTCCACATAAGAGATAAAGTGGGACAATGCCCAGATTCATGCCTATGAAAACAAGCTTGTTCATTGTACAGCAGAATAATGCCGTTATTATGCCCCATTTAGTATCAGAAATGGCTAAGGATGCCAGCCCTGTTAAGCAAGAACTAACTAGTCAACATATCATCACAAAACGCTAAGCTGTGGTTGAAATTCTACCTCAGGCGGGACTCGAACCCACACCTCGCGCTCACCGTGGAAATGCGCTATCCGTTACGCCTATAGGGCTATAGCACAAAAGCCATTAGGAGGATAGCGTGAGAGGTAGCTTCGGTGACTTTAAGGATAGCGCAATCGCTGGTAAGCGTGCACTGCGAATTAAAGTCCTGTGTAAGGGCGAAATATGGCCATAACTCAGCATTCCTGGGACCACTTTCGGCATGGGAACTACGATGTAAAACAGCAAAAAACATACAAAGCAAGCGCAAATAAATATATTGATGAATTTAGGGCACCTATAATAACTAGTTATGACTCAACCTAACGGTCAGTTAACCATATTTTTTAGAAGGTTAATGAGGAATAAAAGGTACCTGCACAAACTGCGTCTTCACCTCCCTGGTCCAATTGTCGCCAGCCGGTACTTCAAGATCGGCCGTCTTCTCTGTTACAAGGTACAATTCCGGACGATCTGAAGAAGAAGGGTAAATATAAGGTATAAGGCATAATTTGAGTACTAAATAAAGCCAAAGCAATGGTTGGAATCTTCCAAGAAGCTTTATCTAACGAAAAAAAACAATGAGGTATGAGAAAGCTAGTCAACCGCAAAAATTATGGAAATGTTGTTAATTTTTGAAAACCTAAAAGAATAGAAAACTGAAAAAGTAGGGTAACTGATGAGAAAAAAATAAAAACCGCACGACAAAGAAAAATCACGTACCAATGAACGGATATTTATCGGGACGACGAATGAAGTACAACTTGTTCGGCGAATCCTGTACCCACATTTGGATGTTTTCTACCAAGTTCTCATGATCCTCATAAATTCGACCTTAAAATAGAAGCTCTGAACGCTTTTTCCACCAGTAGATTTCTATATACAGTTCGCTACTTCCTTCTCACGTGAATCAAACATATTTCATCAGTTTTTAACAGCTTTTGAAAACTGACGTGAAAAACCGATGAAAAAACTCCAATAAAAAAGACTTGTTCAAAAATAATATTCAGCAAAACTCACGTATATATAAATCAGGAAATTCTTCCACTATGCAGTGATCTTCGCACAAGAAAATGTGATGTTTATCAGCCAGTTGTTGCATCGTCTGCAAAATGGACAAGTGAAATTCCAACCATAAACCCAATATTCCCTCAAAGAAGAGCGTCCACACTTCGCGAAGAACGTATTGAGGCTTCCCAATTAGCGGCGATGTTCGAAAAGCTACTTCAAACTATAACTGAGAAGGGTTTTTGAAGAAAATTAAGAGCTAAGGAGCAAAAACGCTAAGGAAATGAAAAAAGGAAGAAAAAACTTACATCCGCAACGGTCCATCGTTCATCAACAAGCATTTGAAGCGGTGCTCCATCTTCCACAAAGAACTTGACAAATATTCGAGTGACCTAAGGAATAACTTTAGAAAACCCATTATAAATACAGAGCAACTTTCACAATTGTTCATATAGTACTTCCACAATTGCATCGAATTGTTAACTATTCACTTCACATATTTCTTTCGAACATGTGATATAAAAGAATGAACAAATAAATAAGTGATGCTAAATGTTCGAAAGTTCAAACAAAGTTCATGTGTGCTTCATATCCCGGAAATTGAGAGGGCGTGGCTGCGCGCCTTATTTGAATATGGCGTACAATGGGTTTTCACGAGGTATTCTCATTTGAGGCAACTGTCATCTTGTCTAGTACTGGACAGGGCACGATTGCGACAGTCCCAAAACGGCAATATCCTACCAAAAGCGCAGCCGTTGCCACGTTCGATGAAGCACGCGGCCACGCCTACTGCATCATCGGGATATCGGGTGCAGGTCTACAGAGTGCAGACGGCTGGTAACTTCAAAAGCTGGCTCAGATTCATTGAAACACTTTAAATCAGTGCAGAACAAGTTTTAAAATCTCAGAACATCTGCAACCGTGAAGACTCTATCCTCCCTTCTTTACTCCTCTCTTTCCACCTTATTTTCGTGCCTCTTCCTTCTTCCCCCCCCCCTCCCCCCTCCCACTAAAGGGCTCAGCCAAACGACGAGAAAACGCTTCTGGAATTCCTCAGCGGGAGAAACGTTACGGAAGTTACCGTACTGTGAAAATCACCGGTAAGTGTGGTAGTTTTCGGTCCCGATGATATGTTTAAGGAACCGTGATGACCTCTTGAAGACGTAAAGGTGGCTACCATGGCAATAAAGCTCTATTATGCATGTCTGGC